TTTGTAAGTTGTGTCTTTACTGTGTTTGTAAGTTGTGTCTTTACTGTTGTTTTCTTTGCTGTGCAGGCACTTTTAAATTTGATATGATTTCATTTGTTGATTCTTGGTATTACTTCTTGTGCAGTGGATGTTCTGCACTGGAAGCCTTTGCCTATTGCCTATGTCTTCAAGAGTCAGTTTTATCTTCCAGCAAATTAAGTATTTTCTGTTTTTATATCTAGGTCTTTGATCTTTTTTTTTTGTACCAGGAATCAAACTCAGGACCTTGCACTTGCCAGGCAGGTGCTGTGCCATTGAGGTATATCCCGGCTCTCTTTGATCCATTTTGATTTCATTTTAGTACAAGCTGAAAAATTCTAAATCTCTAGATTGTCTTCTGCATGTGGATAGCCAGTTTTCCCAGCACCATTTGTTGAAGAGGCTGTCTTTTCTCCAGCATATCTTTTTAGCCCCTTTGCCAAAAACAAAGCAAACAAACAATGGCTGAAGATGCCAGGGCATTGTTTCTGCATCCTCAGTTCTGTTGGTCAATATGTCTGTTTTTTGTGCCAGTGCCATGCTATTTTTATTATTGTAGCTTTGTTGTATAACTTGAAATCTGGGACTGTGAGACTTCCTGCTTTCCTCTTTTTGCTGAGGATTGCTGTGTCTAATTTAGGGTCTATTCTGTTCCCATAGGATTTTTAGGATTTTTTTTTCTAGCTCTATGAAGAGTGTTGTTGGTATTTGAATTGGAATTGCATTAAATCTATACATCAGTTTTGGTAATATAACTGTTTTAACAATATTTGTTCTGCCTACCTGTGAACAGGGACATCCTTTCATTTCTGATGTCTACTTCATTCTTTTTTTTAGAGTACTGTAGTTTTGTTGTGGAGGTCTTTCACTTCCTTGTTAGATTCATTCCTAGGTATTTAATTTTCTTAAAAAGTTACCGTAAATGAGATTGTTTTCCTGATTTCTTTCTTGGTGTGTTCATTGTTGGTGTACAGAAACACTATTGAGTATTGTGTGTTGATTTTGTGTCCTGCTACTGCTGGATTTATTAGTTCTGAGTGTTCCATTAGGGGAATTTTTAGATCTTTTATGTAAAGAATCATATCATCTGCCAGTAAGGATAGTTTGACTTCTTCCTTTCTGTTCATAGCACTTTTATTTCTGTCTTTTGCCTGATTGAGTTAGCTAGCTAGCTGTTTATCTATCTATCTGTTTGTTTGTTTATTCATTTATTTATTGTCTTTCTGAGACCGCAGTTCAGGCTGACCTTGAACTCACCCTGTAGCCCAGGCTGGCCTCAAACTCGCAGCAATCCCCCTGCTTCAGCCTCTGGAGTGCTAGGACTACAGGCCTGCATCACCAGACCTAACTGAGCTTTTTATTTCGTATAAGTGAAGCAGAGGAGATTAAAGTGCTTTCGTGGCTATTGTTTATCCCTTGTAGTTCTATTTATTACAAATCAGTTGAGTGTATAGCTGTGACAAATTACTCATTTTCTTTGGTTTTGAAATCCTTCTTTTTACCTTCTGAGCATAGTATGCCTGGTGTTACACACTGGGGAACTGATAATTTCTAAAAGTGACTGATAGCTGTGGTGCACACCTGTACTGTTGAAGAAGTGAAGAGGGGAAGAGTTATTTTCTGAAGGTTAGAAATCAAATTCTGAGTGGTGAAAATTTGTAGATGAGAGACCACTTTGTACAGCGTGCCAGAATACATTGTAGATTGCTGTAGCTGATGCATGGGAACCTGACCTTTCCCAAAGTGAAGGAACTTGGTTTTAGGGGCCACAGAGAAGCACTCCTGGGAGCGCAGTGGAAAGGGTCTTCTTTCCATAGGTTTATCCTGCATGCCTGGAACAGTGCTTTTGTTACTGCCACCTTGTAGATAGGGACACTGAAGCACAGGTGCACAGACATTTGCTCATTTGTCCCCGGTCACATAGCTGTTGCAACGAGCTGAGGTTTCCCTGTGCAGACCTGAAGTTAGAACCTTAACAGTATGCCTCTTTAGTAAGTGGTCTGTTTCTAGGTGGCAATGTTATCTTTCAACAAGTAGCATTAATAAATGGCTTTTCTTCTTTTCAGGTGAATGTGCGCGTGTTAGAGTAGAGCGGTGGGATTGTTTACCCTTAACTGCCTATTCAGCCTCAAAAAGAAGCCCCTCACCTGTTTGCTTAGGACAGTGATTATGCTGGATGAACAGTAAAAACTTTTCACCTTAGAAAATTTACTATCTGTGTACCCTTGGGGAACAGAAATAAATTGAGGGTTCACAGAATGTAGAGCCTATTTACAGGCTTATTTCCTTTGGTTCCCCAGATTTGCAGACATAGAGAGGGCACCATGTGGGTTTTAAGGACCATTGGCAGCAGGGAAGGTAAGCAGCATGAATGGGGGACCCCCCAGTAACTGCCACCCGGGCGGGAGGCCATTGGCATGGAAAACGCAACGGCTGGCTGGGTTTAAAGGGCAGTGCGAGGCTCTTGCTGAAGAGCCCTCTGTTCAGCCTGTGATTCGAAGAGCAAAACAAAACTGAAAACACATTTAAATACAAACACATCGGCACCTTTAAAGAAACTTTTTAGTAGGTGGTTATTACTAATATATTTTCCTTGTCTTTTTTGTGGCACTGAGGAGTGAACCCAGGGCCTTGTGTGTACTTGGCAGGTCTCTCCCATAAGAGCTTTATCCCTAGCACTTTAAAATAATACTTTTATTTTTTAATAATGTTTTTATTTTGAGACAGGGTCTAGCTAAGTTGCTCCGGTTGGCCTCAAACTTGCCATCCTCCTGCCTCAGCCTCTTGAGTATCTGGGGTTATGGACATGTACTACCACACCCAGCTCTAATATACAGAGTCTGCCAAAAAATGTATACATCATAAAAAGAAAAACTTGTATAAATATTACAATACAGAGTTGAATGACAATTTTTTGAATTTATTAATCCCATTAATCATTGGATTGATACAAATCACCTTTGGCCTCTGCAAGAGATGCTTGAAACAATTTGATGTAACCGTGTTCACCTTGTGACAGATCTCGTCTGCATCTTAGAGGCGAAGGCCTGAGGTGATCTGACCCAGCCAGCTGCTCATCAGCTTCCAGACATTTATTAGTACAGTGTATACATTTTTTGGGAGGCTTTGTGTTTCCCTGCCTATAATGCATCAGTGTTTGTTGAATACCTATTAGGAGACCAGGCTTAGGCTGGTTCACTGCTGCTTCTTTTTTTGTTTGCTTTTGGTACCAGGAATCAAACTCAGGACCTTGTGCTTGCCAGGCAGTTACTTGTGCCGATGAGCTACATCCCCCAGCCCTCACTGCTGCTTCTTAGTCTATCCCCTGACATGATTTTTGTTCTGTTTTCATAGGTGGCCTCTTCCTCCAGAATACTGTTATTTTGAAGAAATCTTTGTGTTAGAGTTAGATATGGCCTTGGGATTCACTTGGTCTGTCTTTAATTTGAACTACTGTTCAAATTAAAGCTAAAAATCATAACGATAGTGTCTCATCTCTGCATGGTGCTTTGGGGGAAACAATTTGATGTAACCGTGTTCACCTTGTGACAGATCTCATCTGCATCTTAGAGGTGAAGGCCTGAGGTGATCTGACCCAGCCAGCTGCGCATCAGCAGAGCTGGGCCTCGAGCCCGGGCCTCCTGATCTGTGCTCAGGTTTTCTGCGGCTGCTGCTCAGACCACTGTAAACTTGTGACTGTCGCCTATGTCAGCCGACTGACCTATCACTCGCGAACGTCTGCATTTCCTGCTTTCAAAGGATGGAGTAATCCCCGGGTGGTCCACATTCAAGCAAATTAACTTTGTCCTCAATTCAGAAGTAATGAGGCTTACCTTGTATCTGAAGCTGATGAGTAGCATTTACTTCTTTATTGAATATGGGGTTTAAAACCAGTACATTTTCCTTCTAAAGTTTATTTAACATTGTGATAGGCGTGCACATGATAGAGATATTTCTTATTATTTATAAATACCTTAAAGTACTGGACCAGAGTATTTTTAATTAATTCCGTGCTTACATCTCCTAATTTATATTTGATGAAGCAGTGTACAGTGTGCTGTGGTGGAGGGAGGGCGTGGCTCACACAGGCATTCTGGTGCCACGCAGCGGAACACATCTGGGTGGGTCCTAGCTGTCCGGATCTGAGTGAGGCAGGTATCCTGAGGGGAGAAGACAAAGGAGTGGGCAGGCGCTTTTCTCCCTCGCACTTGCTCCTGCCTGGAAAGAAAATACAGGCGTCTGTGCATGTATGGGGAATTATTTCGGGACTCTCGCTGGATATCAGAGTCCATCAACAGCCACTGTGGCAGTACATGCCTGTAGTCCCAGCACTGGAGGGCGGAGGCAGGAAAATTCTAAATTTGAGTGCGACCTTGACTACATAGCGGGAACTTGTTTCAAAACAGAGAAACACCAAACAGAAACCATGGATGCTCAAGTCCCTTTATAAAATGGCATAGGATCTGCATATAACCTGTGCACATCCTCCTGTGTGCTTTAAATCATCTCTAGAGTATTTATAGTACAGTGTAAGTGTTATATAAATAGTTATGCTCTATTTTAAAGGGAACAATGTAAAGGGGGAAATCTGTGCATGTTTAGTACAGATGTAGCTCCCCACCCCCATATTTTCAATCCATGAGTGCAAAGCTATGGATCTAGAGGCCTACTGTTTGAATTTAGTGTTCACAGCGTACCTTTGGTGCCTGGCCTAAAACTGAGCAAGACTGGTTCTTGTTACGTTGAACTGCTTGTCTGCAGGTGCTAACATGTGCTCATGCGGCCTTCCGTGGAATCTTGAGGACGAGAGGTCCTGTACTGCAGAAGTCACTGTGTCGTTCCTCTGTCCTTGGCAGCAGGACCGCCATCATGCAGAGCGGTTTTCTTGAGCTGTCAGCAGATTCCATCTCTGCTTTGGTCATTTGTGCCATTGCTTGTTCTGATCAGAACTCACTTTGTGGGCTCTTGTGTCTCTCTTTCAGGTCTAACTTCAAACTCGTGGCTGTTAATTCCAAACTCTACGCCATTGGCGGGCAGGCTGTTTCTAATGTTGAGTGTTACAGTCCCGAGCAGGATTCGTGGAATTTTGTGGCACCATTACCAAATCCCCTGGCCGAGTTCTCTGCGTGTGAGTGTAAGGGGCGGATCTACGTCATTGGAGGCTACACCACTCGAGGTAAGTGAGGGGCTGGGCTAAGTGTTCTGCATGTGGGAGCCTCAGCAGCCTGAGGAAGGAAACTATGGTGCCTGAGTGTTGTTTTCTGTATTCAGTGCTACATTTTTACACATCTGGAAGGGAGAGTCTTGAATGGTAGGTGTGGTTTGGACAGGAGGGCCTTGGAGGACCTTGTGTGAGCGTGAAAATTGAACAAGTAGGGGAGTGAACATTGCTTTCTTTCTGCTCAGGCCTGGCTGCTCTCTGACCGGGGCAGGGCTTTTGAGGGCTGTGGTATCTGAGCACCCTTCTTGGGAGATGTGCAGTCTGCCCAGTCTAGCACTGTGGTGCTGGAGATTCCTTGCAGGTCTTTGCTTTCATTTTCTCCTTTCATGAGCAAATACCAGACCTCAGCCCTAGGGCATTGTTCCCATACCTTGGGAGCTGCAGGGATACAAGAGAATGTTTTTTTCTTTTAGTCAGCAAGAGCAATTGTGCTATTAAATTGTACATGAGTGTTTTTTCACTTTTTTTTTTTTGAGATGAGATCTCACAGTGTTGCCTAAGCTGGCTTTAAACTCCTGGGCCCAAGTGATCCTCCTGTCTCAGCTTCCTGAGAAGTAGGGACTAGAGGCCTGAACCCCTGTGCCTAATGCAGGGACAGCCCCATGGGCCTGTTCAGTATTGATTCCCCTACCCTCCTATCTTTTCCCCTTTCTCTCTTTCCTTCTCTTCCTACCCCCCGCCCTTTTTTGGCGTTAGAGGTTAAATCTGGGGCCTTGCACTTATTCTGTGCCACTGTGTACACCCTTGGCCTTATTTTTCACTTGTTTTGGTGAGTATTTTGTGGTTAGTAACTTGGAAATAAAAAATCTTCTCCAGCTGCTGCACTTGTAGGAACCCTTGGGTGATAGTGTTAGGGATGGTAAAGCACAGCTAGGAATATGTGGGCCTCCCCGCTCCACCCTCTCCTCCCTTGAAGCACTTGTCTCTCTCGCCTGGCTAAGGAAATGTATTTCACATTTGGTCAGTCTGATGGTACAGCGCCCAGAACTTACAGGAAAGGTGCAGCTGTGCTTGGATGTCTAGCCACACTTAAGTGACAGAGTGACCATTGTGTGTCAGATGGTGAAAGAAACTAGCACTGGTGTGCGCAGGGCAGGGCTCTCTAGCGCCTACTGGTGCTGGGCATTAGGCTGCAGGCAACCACCTGCCACTTTGTAAGTGGGCAGAGATACACATGCTAATCTAATACTCAAGTAGGTGACATTTTTTTCACCATATCAAAAAAATGTATCTTGTTTTGTAGATTTATGTTAGAGAAATAAATGTAAATATTTTATGAGCATGTTACTTTTTTCTTTTCCTCCTTCCTTTCTCCCTCCTTCCTTCCATCCCTCTCCCTCTCTCCCTGTCTCCCTTTCTCTCTCTCTCCTTCCCTCTCTCCCTCCCCACTCCTTCTCTCCCCTTTCTTTCAACAGCAAAATACTTTACCACTTAGCGTCCTGTAAACCACTGGCTCCGCCGGAGGGTGTGGGCAGTACAGCGCTTTCCTGTGGCTTCCATAGCAAATCAGCACAAACTTGATAGCCTAAAACAGCAGACTGGAGACCAGAAGGCAGGATCAGGGAACCTCAGAGTCCTGTTCCTCCTGCAGTGTCAAGGGAGAGTTCTTGCTCGCCTTGCCCCGTTTCTGGTCTTCCCCAGCCAGGCCTTCTTGTCTGTGTGGTCTCCTCTTCACTTATCAGGACACTTTTCCCTGGATTCGGGGCCAGCGTGGGGTCTCCAGAATGGTTTCATCTTAAAATCCTTAATTATGTCTACAGAGACCCTGTCCCACATACAGTCCCTGCTCGGGTTCTGAGGTTAGCCTTTCTGAGGGCCGTATCCCACGCTCAGGTGGTGGCGCCTATGTCCTGCATTTCAGCAGAGGCCGTGCTGGAGGGCCCAGCGCGTTGTGAGCAGTGAGGGTTTTTCAGTTTAGTTTTTCTGTACTCCACACTTTCATCACTGGGGGTCTGTTTTCAATGCCCTTCTCTAGTGCCCTACACTGAGTATAATCGCCAACTTTTTCTTTATAAATAAGGAGGAAAAAATCTGACACTTAGGAGATATTTCTTTTACCTTCAGCTTTGGTGTTTAGGTTACAGTGATGATATCCCTGGACAGCACAGCCTCCCACCACCCTACACTCCTGCGTTTGTCTCTTTTCTCTCGGGAGAGTGAGTAGCCGGGTTACAGACCTATGAGCATTTCCAGGACTTGGTCCCCCACTAGGACCACGCGTGCATCTTGTGGCCTGACCTCTCGCGCGCAGCCTGCGGCTGCTCTTTAAGCAAGAGCTGTTAGCACCAATGGGCAGCAGTGCTGGTAGATTTCCTATTTTTCCATGACCCTGGCTGAGCAAATATTCCTTCATTTGACCTAGAAAACCCTTCGTGTGTGTTTGTAGCTTCACAAGCCACCACTGAGGTGCCTTCTTCCCTGGGGCCACCCACCGTGATTTCTGTCCTGGTGCCCTTTGCCAAAGACCACGTTGGGATGGTTGGGCGATGCGGATGGGTGGGTGTTTGTGTAAGGCTGAAAACTCGTTTTCTAGTCCAGAGAGCAAGGCAGCTGCTTGTCCTCTGAAGTCCTCCTCCTGCTCGACTTTCCCTAGCACTTCCTGATGTTCCCTGTGTTCCCAACAAGTCATTTTGTTATTATGAAAAGAGAAGAAGGAAAATCAGGACTTAGTTAGATTTTTACTCTGCAGATTTCTTAAGTGAGACTTCAGAGATTTAGTTTTTAAAATTTTATTGGTACATTTTGATGTACATGATGATCACATTCATCACTGGGAATGTGTACCTGTACGTAATCTATGTTGGTTCATCTTCCCCACATCCCCCATCCTTCCCTTCAGTCCTTTTCTCCTTTCCCTCTGCAAAACTTTGTTCCTGTTGTTTTCCTTTTTTGTTTTCCTTCTTGTTTTTTATGTTATCCCTGTTCCTCCCCTCCCTTCCTTCTCTCCTGCTTGTTCACTCTCCCATTGGAACATTTTCTCCCTACTTTTCACCATCTGTCCTCCATTTTGCTCCTTATTTATCCTTTGAGTTTCCTACACAAGAGAAACAATATGATATTTAAACGTGTGTCTGATTTACTTTACTTAAAGTAAGTTCTCAGGTTGTATCCATTTTCCTAAAAATGCCTCAAGATTATCCCTCTTTATGGCAGTATAGTACTCCATTGCATATAGCATTCTTTTTTGGGGTGGTATTGGGAATCAAACTCAGGACTTTGTGCTTGTCAGGCAGGTGCTATATCACAAGCCCTCCATTGTATATAAAAACCACATTTTCTTTAGTCATTCATTGGGCATCTGGACTATTTCCAGGATTTACCTATTACAAATTGTGCTGCTATACCAGCACTCTGGAGACTGAGGCAGGAGGATAGTCACAAGTTTGTACCAGGCCTGGGTTACAAGAAGAGAGTTCAAGGCCAGCCTGAATTACATAACAAGACTCTACCTCAAAAGAACAACAATAATTTAAAATTGTGTTTATATAAACATGAGTGTACATATATCACTGTGGTATGATACTTTTAACTCTTTTGGGAAGATACCTACAAGGGGAATAGCTGGGTCAAATCTCTAGTGCTGGTTTTTTGAGGAATCTGCACTGATTTGCATAGTGGTTGCACCAGTCTACACTCCCACCAACAGTGGAGAAGGGTTCCTTTTTCTCTACAGCCCCTCCAGTATTTGTTACTGGTTGAATTCTTTTTTTTTGTTTTGTTTTTTTGTTTTTCTCCGGTACTGGGAACCGAACTCACGACCTTGCGCTTGCCAGGCAGGCACTTTTGCCGCTGAGCTAAATCTCCAGCCCCTTACTGGTTGAATTCTTGATTGTAACTGTTCTTTGTGCAGTGAGGTACAATCTCAGTGTTGTTTTAATTTGCAGAGCAAGTGCTCTAACACCAGTTTAGATGCTCGACTCTTCGTTTTGAGACAAGGTCTCACTGAGTTGCCCAGGCCGTGCTGCAGCTTCTGGTCCTCCACCCCGCAGTTGTGGTGACGGTGCCTGCCCCGCACAGCTTCGCTGGCAACAGCAGTGCTGCAGGCTTGAGTTCTGCGCAGTTCCTAGGCCAAGCCCGCCCCTTCCAGTGATAGTTTTTGTTGTTTGTTTAACAATACCAAAGAAAAGTTTATTCTTACTGGTAACTGGTAACATTTTTTTCTTGTGGAGGCTAAACTACTCCATTTATTCTTTCCTAGAGGAGAAAAAAACACAACTAATAAAAAAAACCCTTTCAAAGAGACAAGATGGAGTGCTTTTCCCTAAATAAGATAGCTTAGCCATTAATTAAAAAGAATTAAGAAAATTAATAATAATGACATTATTAATTAAAAATGTCAAAGCAGCCTTTCATCTTGTCTTTCACTCGTCTGTCCCTCACTCTTTCTGCTCATATCTGGTGAAGGATCTTTGCTAGTGTGTCTCTGGAGTTAAAGCTGTAAAGCAGACTTGCCAGATGAGTCTATGGCTTATTAAAAGGCAGGGAGTGAGACTTTCTTACATTTTTCATTTATACTTTTGTGTCCTTTTCTCCGGGTCGTACCTGGAAGTATTGCCTTGCTAGTTGTCATGTTTCTTAGAATCAGCTGTCAAGATTGGACCCTCTAAGATGGGTATGAGACGCTGCACATCTGTAGCCCCAGCACGCCAGGAGGCTGAGGCCAGAGGATTGCAAGTTTGAAATCAGATTGAACAATTTTTTTTTTTTTTTTTGTCTTTTTGACACAGGATCTCACTGTGTAGTTCAGACTGGCCTTGAGCTCACTTTGTAGCTAAGGCTGGTCTCTAACTCGCAACAATCCTCCTGCCTCAGCCTCCTGAGTGCTGAGATTACAGGCATGTGCTACCACACCTGGCCAGATTGAACAGTTTAGGAAGACCTTGTCTCAAAACAAAAAAATAAAAATGGCCTGGAATATAGTTCAGTTGTAAGGTCCTGAATTGAATTCCCAGTACTGGGAGGAAAAATTTAAAAACCACTAAATTAAAGAATTAAAAAACACTCTAGGGGGCTCACCCTGTCTCTTGTTACCCCGTCAGTCATTCTGTAGCTATCGGTGAGGCTCTGGTGTCGTGACCTGGTAGTTCAAAGAGTGAAAGTACCAGGTGGAGTGATTGTGTTCACATCACAGCTGCTCTTTCCTCTGGCTTTTCTCCTTTAAAGCGATTTCTCCTTTATCTGTTTTGAGAAAACAATTTCTCCCGTGATGAAATGCTTACACGCAGCTAGTGCCGGTCGTGTGGGGCCTCGCAGCTTGCTCACCACTTGGCTTTCTGTTTCAGAGCGAAACATGCACATTTTGCAGTACTGCCCCTCCTCCGACGTCTGGATGCGCTTTGAAACGTGTGACGTCCACATTCGGAAGCAGCAGATGGTGTCAGTGGAGGAGACCATCTACATTGTGGGCGGGTGTCTCCACGAACTGGGGTCTAACCGCAGAAGCAGCCAGAGTGAGGACATGCTCACTGTGCAGTCCTACAACGTTGTCACTCGGCAGTGGCTCTACCTCAAGGAGAACACTTCCAAATCGGGCCTCAACCTGACCTGTGCGCTCCATAACGATGGTATCTACATCATGAGCAGAGATGTCACGCTCTCGACCAGCTTGGAACATCGCGTTTTCCTTAAGTACAACATCTTTTCGGACAGCTGGGAAGCGTTTCGGCGTTTCCCAGCCTTTGGACATAACTTGCTGGTTTCCTCTCTTTATCTGCCCAATAAGGCAGAAACATGACTGAATTGACATAGCACTTTTTAAAAGCCTCGTTCAAAACGTATACACACATGCACACCACATGCATACAGAAGGGAGACACTGATTTCTAAGGGAAATGTGTGTTAAAGTAGTCACATGCCAGTAACAGCTGTAAATAAGCTTACTCGAACCAATTACTTGAAAGTTGTGAAAAAAAGAGACCAACTTTATTATATTTTAAATTACTGGTTTTTAAATTATGGGAACAAATCCGTGATATGTTTTCATCAAAACATGGTAGTAGAGTCAGTGACTGAAATAGATCATTAAAAACTAGATTCATTGTGTCTGCTTGGTAAGGAGCTAACTGAGATGAATGGTGAACACAGTTTTTAAACCTGATTTATTTAGGTTACTTGAAATAACCGTAATATTTTAAGTGAGAGATACTCCTTTCTGTTTATCATTTCATGTCGTTTTGTGTCAAACATTCATATTGCCATTTCTCCGTCCCCTGGTGAAACCCGCAGATACTTCCAGCGTGTATATAAGAGGGTCATGTGCTCAAGACATTTTATTCATGCACTGCTTTTCAGGAAACCCATAATAATGAAATGTTAAAGTGGATCCTGGAATGCATTCATTCCCACCACAACTTACGTGAATTCATTCCCAGCTATTTTTCCAGTTTTTTCCTAGTTATAGATGCTGAATAAGTGGACTGATAAAATTTCTTAATTCACACGTGGCAAATTGCAGATCTATGTTGGTCACAAAAAAATTGCACTGCCAGGCATTCTGTGTTTTAAAGAAAGAGCATAAAAGAATGGGTAGGAACATACATTTTTAAACTTGAGTCTTAAGTGAAAAGGAAAGGAAGTACGTATAAAAAAGTTTGCCTTTTCAAGTTCCTTTATTGACTGTTTAACTTAGTTCTTGCTTAAAGTTTGAAACAAAACTTTATCATGTTTAAATTGGATGCTAGCTTTGTAATTCATGTTTTGCTTTTGTGGGGTAAAATGAGGATGGCTTGAAGCATTTGTGCTGGAAAGGAGGGAAGAAGTTCTACATGTGGACCGCTCTGGTGGTATTCCTGAAGTTAGGAAGGGTGCTGACTGCGCTGGTGGGGAGCACATGCCATGCACACAGCACTATTAGTGAGCAGCTCAAGCAATTCCACTAAGCCAGTTAACAGTGAGTAAAATGTCTGCCAATCACAGATTGGTGATTTGTAGAAACACATACCTAGGCTGAGGGTGTAGGTTGGTGGTAGAGCACATGCATGTAGGAGGGACTGGGTTCAATCCCCAGCACTAAAAAACAAAACAACTTAGAAAATTTTTATTTTAATTAAAAAACACTTTTTGAGAGTATCTGATATTTTGTAATAGAGACTGGTGAACTGCAAGCCAAAGTCCCTTTTTTTTTTTTTTAAAAGACAGGGTCTTGCTGTAGTTCAGGCTGGCCTTGAACTCACAACAATCCTCCTGCCTCAGCCTCCCAAGTGCTGGGATTACACATGTGCCTACCCCACCCAGCTAAAGTCTGTTTTTCTGCATGAGTAGCAAGCTGTGATTTCAGTTATAGCATGCCTTGCTTTAAGAAATCTCAGTACAGAAACAAAAATGTTCACAATGGATCCACACATTCCACAGTTATGCTGCGTGCTGTGTAGATGTGATTCACAGGAGTTAATCACCGAACAGAGTTCTTAAGTTTACTCCAGAAGTCACTACAGGGTTTTTTGTTTTTGTTTTTGTTTTATAACCATGGCCTCTAGTGTATTTAAAAGAAGGGGCTAGCTATAAAAAATCATATTTGCACGAAAAATTTTTCCTGAAAAAATCATATTTTCAGGAACACTTCTATTAAGTTAAAGTGAGTAAAGCTTTATTTTGGACATGAAGAGGGCTCTTTGATGTCTTTATATCTTGTTACTAAATAATTCTTTTTTTTTTTCTTTTTTTTTGAGACAGGGTCTCACAATATAGTTCAGGCTGGCCTCAAACTCATGCTGATCGTCCTGCCTCAGCCTCCTGAGTGCTGGAATTATAGGTGTTTGCCACCACACCTGGCATCACCAAATAATTCTGTCAGTAGTCTGCTTATAATACCATTTAAAAGTCCGTCTTTCTCAACAGGGCCTGTTGTAGTTCAGTCTGGCCTCAAACTCTCAGTCCTGCGTGCTGGGGTTACAGGTGTGCAACACCACTTCTATCTCTGTGCAAGAGTTTCTAAACCATACCTGTTCATTCTCAAATTCTAAGTATTTTTCTTTAAAAGAATCTGAGCTGAAATATTTCTGGGAAGGGTACTTAAATAATAAATTTACTTTATACTTACTGTAGGATTGGATTTCCAGTGAACTATCATTTTATTATATATATTTAAAAATCTCATTTGTTTTTGTTTTTATAGAGCTTAATTCTTTCAAGGCTGAAAACAGTATATTCAGAATACTGTAGCCAACTGAATTAAGACTGGACAGACAATTGGAGAGAAGTCTATAAATAACCACATCATGGAGTATAAAGTATGCCGGCAACCAGTTCATTCTCATTCTGATTGTTTTCTTTGGGTCCCTTGTTTTCCTCATATTGATAATAAAACTCTTGGACCAAGTAAAGGTATACTGTGGTCCACAGAGCTCTCTTACGCACCAGGGTTGATATGTGTGTATGTGCACATGTGAATGTATGTTTGTTTTGTACCCTCGCCTCGTTAGGAGGCCTAGACTCCGAGTAAGACTTTGTTATTCTTGGTTGCCACCACTGCTTGGGAAAGGTAGAATGTGTATAGGAACAGGCCTGTGGATTTTATGACATCAGCTTTCCTGTGTGCACATGAGCTGTGTTAGTATCTTGAGGAGAGTTTTTACTCTCCGGAGTTTTTACAACTCCGTGTTCTTATTGGTGCCAGTGTTACATTAAAGCCTACTTAGGATGAAGGCAGTGTTTCTTTGAAAATCGCCTTTCATCCTCTAGGACTGTCCTTTAATACCTCTTATTTTTTTCCCCATTCATTGCTTTTCCACAAATGTTTCTTTTTTTTTTGTTTTTTTTCTGAGATGCTTCTAAAGGGTGGCGACCCCACTCTGTGGGATGGGAGTGAGTATTGTTGGTAGAAGGAGGTGGTGGTTTTGCCTGTCATTCTCTCTGACATTCTTTTCAGCACCTGTGGAGGCCTTTCCCCTTAGTATCCTTTAAAAGGTTTTATTATAAATTTGTAAGAGCTAATTATTTCAACAGTGTTGGTTAAGTTATAATAAAGTATTGAGAAAGTGATGGATGAGCAAACAAAGTGATTAAGGTGAAGCATGAAAACCAAAGATAATTTAACTTTTTTTTTTCTGAGACAGGGTCAATTTAGGCTGACCTTGAAATCATGGAGATCCTCCTGCCTCAGCCTTCCAAGTGCTGGGATTACAGGTGTGCACTACCATGCCCAGCTCCTCTGACATTTTTAAAACACCAAGGTTCCAAGTAATTCCAAATGCCTTAGATATCAAAGCTATACTGAGGTGGATAGTGCTTTTTCTTCAGAGTAATAATGAAATAAGTATTTTCTTTCAGTAAAGAATTGTTTACAAAGCCTGGAGTGTGCATTGTTTTCAGGTTTCTAGAGAAGGTATAAGCCTACCTTATTGAATAGAAAGGTAACTGGAGGTGAAAGACCTTGGTACTTAATGGACAGTGGCTTGGTGGTCTCGGGAAGGTGGGTGAATGTCAGATGCCTTCCTCTTAGATGAAAACCAGGAATATATAGCATTTTGGGGTTTGAGTGGTATTAAGTGTGGCCCGCATTTAGTGCCAGGGTTTGGTCTCAAAATCCACATCCAGTCAGTGCTGCAGACACCCCTTACTAGTCCCTCAGTGGAAGGAAGCCTGTGTCCATGCCTGCCTTAGACATAAGAGTGAAGGAATTAGGTGAGTAGCTCTCTCAAAATGGCGTTGAAAGCAGTGAGCTGATTCAGCCCAGTTCCCCGGTAATCAGAAATACTTTGAACGTCTATCAGTACAGGATAACATTAAGAACTGGGAGCACAGGCATCAACAAGCCACAGTTCTGACCTTGAAGAGCTTACAGCTGTGTAGCCATGTCTACTCTAATGGTCTCGACCAGGGCTTCCTTCGCAGAGATGCCCAGTGTCGTCGGGCACCTCGGGCTCTGCGGTCTGGCAGCCTCTTCCGGCTTCCCCAAACCTGGCCTTTGTCCGTGACAATAACAATCACAAAACAGTTTTTCTTTACATTTGAGTATGCCCTATGTTTTCGTTTTCTGACTGTGTGCTTTTTTTTAGTATACTTTTAAATATTTATACTTCATTTTTGTAAAACACTAAAATTATATGCAGTCTGCCTCATTCATATTCACGGAGCTCCACGGCCTTTTCCACTGGTCTGGTGAGAGGGTGAAGGCGGGAAGTCTGGCGCGAGGCGCTTGGAGTATGTGTGTGCTCACATTGACCCTCTGAAACACTTTCATGAAAAGTATTAGTAAGAATTATTCACTCAGACACCAGCCCCAACTAAAATCAGTTGATTGTGCCTTTGTGATGATTACCCAGTGGCAGTTTTCCATCCATATGTTTCATTCACATGGTGTTTTTCGCTTTCCTATGTTAACTTAGGAACATGCTCTGAAACCTACCCGGTGCAGGCTGATGACTATTGTTACAACCAGTAACCATTGTTAGCCATTCCTCCAGGAACCAGACTACGTATAATGGCCAGTTTGAAGAGCAAAAGGTGCTGACATAGCTTTTATCGGGTTGGCCAGTGCTTTATCAGTTGATTTCCATAGTTTATTATTGGTAAAGAGAAGGAATATGTGGTTTGGATTATTGTGTCGCTTAAATTCTTTGGAACGTGCACTTTGTATCTGGCCCTGCAATGTTTTTCCTGTCTAGTAGTCATTTGAAGGCTATAGGATGTATAGTTGTATATTGTTTGATTCTCTGTTTAAAAAGGTCATGTTGAGGCCTCAATTTCAGGTGTGACTTAAAAATGTGAACGTCGTGCTATGATTCACTGAAATGTAATGATGCCTATGAAGCACTCACTGTAACAACATTCAGTCTAGAACTATGGAAGAAAAATTCAAATAAAATAGTCTAAGTCCGTTTTTCCTGTGTGTGAGGTTCTACGTTCGGCTGTGTACTTGGGCTACCCCAGAGCTGGGCGGAAGGGGCGTGCCGAGGAGGACTGAAGCTCGGGACGCCAGGCCAGCTTGGCGGTCCTGCTGGAGGGCAGAGCCACGCGGGGCATCTAGGGTTGGGAGAGAGAGGGCTGTGAAGCCGGGAGTTGGGAGGTGCTGGGAAGAGGGGCTCAGAGTCCTCAGCATTCCTGGGCTTTTCAGTCGGCCCCAGTGTGAACTCGAGTCCTTAGACTTCTAAAGAAAAGTTAAAGTCCAAATCCCACTGCTTAGCATAGTCCGTCTATGTTTTGAAACTTTGCTCACTTTAATAACTTCCAGGGTGGCACATGCCTGCCTGTAGTCCCCACACCTGGGAGGCCGTGAGTTTGAGGCCAGCCTGGGCTACAGAGTGAGTAAGACCAGCCTAGACTGCACAGTAAGACCCTGTCAAAAAAAAACCAACCCAAATAACGTCTTTAATCCAAAAACGTTGAAACACACAAGTCCCGGCCTTTATGTAGCTGGTTCTGACTCCAGCTTTGAGGCTGGGAGGGGTGTGTAGGACAGTGCTACACAACAGTCGAATGACTGCACAGTGCTCCATGGCTGTTCATTTCCTTCTAGCCTTTGCCCAGAGCATTGGGGCATGCGTACACACGCACACACCCTTCTCATACAGTTTAGAAAGCGAGCCCACTTAAAATTGTATCTCATAAAAAATCCAAAGACATACCCACCCCCCTTCCCAAGCAACTGTGTCCAGTGGTGAACTGTGATCCATTGATTGTTAAGTCGGGTTGATAGGGATGTCCATCCCTCCTGAGTGCACGGATGATCACTGAATTTTGCCGATAGATAAGGGAATAACTGTTTCCCATACTTCCAGAGCACAGACTGGAGGACAAGGAGGCTGACCGATGCAACAGAACAGCATCACACGAATCGTGCGCTCACTGTGCCAGGAACTCTCTTAGGCTTCTTGTATTTAAGTCACTGAAGCCTCACATTGATCCCATGTGGTAAATACAGATGTGATCCCCACTTTACAGTTGACGAAACTGAGACATTGTGGGTTGAAAATTGCCAGTCGGTAAAAGGCAAAAGGGAAAACTATATACAGTTGTCACTGGTTCAAAGTATACACTTGCCTGCTGGTGGGGCATAGCAAGGCTCCCTGCCTGGTGGGTTTCAGGTTGGCCCGTCTGGTTCGCTTTGCCGAGGGCTGTATGGGGGCCCTCTTGTTATTGGTATAGCTACAGGAGCTTCGGGAAGGGAAGCCCCAAAATCCGTGAAGGCTGAGGATCTCTGGGTCCTTTGCCCATCAGCATTTCCTTGGCA